GTGATAGTTTACGTCGTAAAAAACAAAAGCAAACTTCTATGAAAAGGCTAGCACCAGAGATAATAGCATAATGTTCAGAAAGTCTTTTCGGAATTGTTGTTAGTATTTATGTAGTGCAGCCAGTTAATCCAGATTTCACAGTAAATGAAAAATTTCACATCAACAGAGAAACAAATCCCTGACCCATAGAGCTTCCCCTCTAAAGGCTGAATATTCGTTAGAGAAAGCATATGTTGAGAAGTGTCTGAAGGTTAAAGGAACTAAGTTTAAAATAAAAGCAGGATAAAATAATTGGAAAGAGAAGTCAGATTTGATAGATATTTAAGAGGGTGAGCATAACATGCAAATATCTGTAAAGGCTACAACAGCACAAGCTGAAATGGCTGGCCTCTAGATAGGAGAACCAAATGGACTTTTGGAGATCTTTTCATGTCCTGGATGTTGGGTGTGAATAACAATAATCTGAGGTCTTCCTGTAGTATCTGGAGACTTACCAGAAGGGTGTTCAGGCTGGGCTGGCAGCAAGAACAGCCAAAGAGAAGAGTTCTCCAACCACTTCCTCAACATCCACCAATACCAGGGAATTTCCAGCGGGAAACTGCTCTCCATTCCCTATGAGATGATGGTACCTAGTCCAGAATTAAGGCCAAAAAGAGTACAGAAAACAGTTTGTGAAGAGTTTAGAAGCTGAAATTTGGTTTGAGAGGAAATTAAATTAGATGTGGACAGAACAGAAGAGCACCAGAAGGCAGAAACAGGCACTCCGTGCACAAGGTGGGTGGCAGAGGCAAAGTTTTTCTTAAGGCAACAGGAGAGAAAGAAACTGTAGCAACAGAAGTTTGAGTAAATGGGAGCCATGGCCTGCATTGGGGTGAAGTCTGCAATGACAGCGTTGATTTTGGGAAGATTTTGGGAAGGATAGGATAGCATTATGTAGAAGGCAATCCTCAAATGAAGGAGAGGGTCTTGCTCTCATTTAGTTCAGTGAGAGTTTTCCTACTGACTTGCACAGTGTGACAGTAGTCAACAGGTAGCCAGTTAGAACAGAAGGAAGGTGAGAATAACACAAAGTTTGCTTTACAAGATTGATTTTGAAGGTAGTATTCAAGAGGTGGGGAAGAAAGAATAAAGAAGTCTTGAGCCCATTTGCTGTGTGAACAAAGTGATGTATATGAAATGAAGGAAAAGTGTATGATAATAATAGACTTTTTACACCATGGGTATGGGTTTTTTTTTCTCATGACAGACTATGACAACCAGAAAATCAGTAAAATCACAGCATTGCAAGAGACTGGAAGCTTAACAGCAGAGGGGAGACAGTCAGCCTGCCCAAGTTGCATGGGTGTAATTGAAGGTCTGTTGTGCTACAGATTTAGGTCAAAATTGTGTGCACGTTCACAGTTGTACTAGTTTAACAAGAACACTGTATTTGTTTTTCATTCAGATGCAAAATAAGGAAGAAAACTATCAATGGCCCTAAGCACCTATATAATAAATGCTATTATGTTAATCCTTGGCAGCCTTAAGATCACTAGTCTCACAGGAACCCAATAAGCTATCCAGCTGCTTTGTCACTTAGACACTTGATCATCTGTCAGCCATCCCAGAACTCCTTCCGTGAAGGAAGATGACTTTGGCAAAAGCCACCAGGAAAGAACCAAATTCAGTCTGTATCAAGATGAAAGTAGGGAAGACATATCCCTTCACACAGAGTACTCGCTTTCTTTTCCTCTTGTTTTCTAAGAAAAAAAATATACTCAGATTGAGCTGGTCTGTGCTTAGAGCTGCTTAAGATAGATTTGCTTAGCTGTTCGGATAACTTGGGAGGAAGGGTTGATCCCTTAGGCCAGTTAGAAGTTCATCTGTCATAGCTAACACTTAAATTCCACTTAGAAGCGGGTCAGTCAAGTACCACGTCCTTTGGAGGTGCTGCTGTGCTGCTGTGACAAACTGTATTCCTTTTGTGGATAGGATTGAAGTTTTCCATGTTGTCAACACTTTCTGAAACATTCCATTCACATTGTGGATTTACTTAATGAAAGACATTGATTAAAAAGCCTAATTAAAAAATTGCCTAAGGTCTACTTTAAGTATTTCAATAATTGACCATTTTCAGACAAACAGCTTTTCTTTTTCTACCTCCCCTACATTGAAGCCATAATGCCAAATCGGTAATATAATTATTTTGACAGGATCAGCCCATCAAAAAGACTGTCATTTGCCTCCTTTGCAAGAGCACGCCGAATGGAAAGCTGGATGGAAAATGACCACATTTTAGTCCTGACATGAAGTACAACATATGCTAAGGTAAGTTTGGTTATTTTCTTCCTGGATATTCCCCTGCTTGTTGCACAGAAGCAGTGGGCCAGCGGGACCCAGAGCATTTGCAAGCAGTGACAATAGGAGCTCAGTCGAAATATTTCGTGTTATTAAAAAAAGGGAAAAGTATCGCCTAGTGCCCAGATTCACTCTTTTGAACTTCCCGGAGAACATAAAGTTCTCAAGTGTGATTTTGTCTACCTCGTAGAGGTGTGACATGCTTGCAAAAAGTCAAAGCAGGAGAAAAGTTTGTGAGCCAAACATGAGTTTTTAGGATGACAATTAATATACATTTCTGTTGAACAGTCAGTGCAACTAGCCTAGCAGGGAAAAGCTTCAATTTTACTATCTTTGCCCACTGCTGCTTTGTTGAAATCCCTCTCTCAGAGGCTGAGGTTTCAGATCTCACTTTGGATTAATAGTTGCAATTCAGTTTCCCTGTCTCCAGTCCTAACATACTTCCTTCTGAACAGTAACAATCACAATCTGCAAGAGGTTATAAGCAGCTACCATACTTGAAAGAAAAGGTAAAATGTGGCAGGGACAGAGAGGAGGAAATGAAGCTCAAAAAGTTACCGTGCTTTACAGAAGTTCGACGATTACCTTCTCTAGCCAAGTCTCCTACAGCATAGTACCTTAGAGGTAATACGACATAAAACAAAGATCAAGTTTGATAAGCAATCCTCTTCTTTGCATATACCCTGTTCATATTGATCCTAATGTAAAAATTTGCCGACAACTCTGGAATGCAAACCACATTAAAGCTGTTGCCGAAATCTTCTGTGTATTGAACAGTAGGTAATCTGTCATTTAATTCAACTGTGCCAAGATTTCAAGCCATACTTACGCTAGCAATCTTGACAGACCCATAACTAAATATTATTGATTAGCCATCACTGTTTTTTATTGTTGTAACGCAGAAGGCTGTGCAGCCTTGCAGTTGGCCTTCCACACAGTCCATTGCAAGATATTATATTATTATTATATTGGCAAGTAGACATATCTTTATTGCAGGCACCCCCATGTGTTTTATATTTTTAATTCAAGGATATAAATCACAAGATCAGCATTGACACAGACTTATGAAGAGAAAGTCAAGAAAGAGGTGGAATAACTCTTTTTTTAAACCATACACTTAAAAGGATATCCCCTGTAGAAATAGTCTATCGCAAGGAAGACTCAAGACATAAAATAATGCTAAGAATCATTCTGGTAGGATTTTGAAGCCTTGCAACAAACAATATTATCTTTATCTAATGGGGTTTGTTACCCTATGTTTTGAACAGATGTTAAGAATTTATTTTCTAAACAACTTAAAATGGCAACGTCAGTTGTCAGCTGAAAAAAGATTTGCAAAGCCAGCAGATGGAGTAAAAGAACATTTCTTTTTTGCGGCATCTAGAAGTAGTTGGATGTTTGTAGGTCTTTATTTAAAAAACAAAACAAAACAAAACTGGAGCCAACTCTCCACCCCCAAGACCCAAAACAGAGATCCTTCAAATCTCATTTTGGTGCTGATTTCACATTCAGTCACTTCAACTGGATATGTTAACAGGGAAACTGCATCACATGGCCTTGGTTGTCTGAAATGGCTATCCTAGCTTCGGTATCATAATGATCTAGGTCAGAGGGGTTAAACTGCTTGACCTTGTGAGTTATTTACCAAAAGCTTCGTATGACTGAGAGTGGCAAAATCCATACCTCAGGGTATGGATCCATTTTACGTAAATGCAGGGCTTTGGAAGGTGTCAGGGGTGCGAGGTGACCACAGCTACTCACAGTCCAGCTGCCATGTGGTATGGTTGGTCAGGTGGTAAGTCCTGAGACAAGAGGCAGTATCAACTTCAGCAGCCCCCAATAACATCTTTCATCTCACAGCTGGGGCTTTCAGAATGCCTGGTAAAAGGCTTCGTGCTCCATGGCCAGTGCTGAGTTACTCAGCACAGATCTGACTAGGGATGCATGTTCAGAATTACTCAAAAACTACACAGAGCGCAAGCACTTCACTTAGGTCAAGGATAATCTTTGGTATGTTATACAAAACCCCATGCTTAACTCTACAAACCATACTTCTGTAACTTCAAGTTTGTTGGGACTACATGCCTGAAGTTTAGCACGTGCTTTGGCCTTTCCAATGGATTCAAATCCACAACTAAGCCTGCTGCCTAAGTCTTTTCCCCCATCACACTGAAGCTCTTGGCCACAGTTAAAGAACAGGAGCGCTCCTTCCCGGAGCCTTGTCTGTCTGCCAGTGGAGGTAATCAGTTTGTTTTTCAGGGGAAAGTGAATGTTACTGGTGCAAAATACGAGCTACCTTCTTCCCTTTCTTCATTAAGCGTGCCCAACCAAACATATCTATGATATATTCTGATTTAAGCCAGGAAGGAATTAAAGCTCCTGTTCTTGCCAAACGACTGAGTGCTTGCAGGCACAGATTCCTAAGAAATTATAATAGAGAAAGCATAATGCATTAGCAGAGTATTTGTGCATTCATTGGAAATGAATATGGATATAATTTAGTAAAGCTGATGTATGTGGAACTGTAAAACCAAGGACATAAAATGTAAACTTCCCTGTAAATATCAATTCAGTGTTTTGTGGTGGCGAAAAAAAGGCAAATGGAATATTGCAATGGAATTAAGAAGGGAACTGAAAACTAAACTGTCGCTGTATAAATCCCTACTGCACCAATATTTAAGATATCGTATGGAGTTCTAGGCACTTGATCGCTAAAGAATATAGCAGAACTGTATTCTGCTATTGACATTTTAAGAACAGCAAGGTATGGGGTGGCTTCTGTCTGAGGAAATTAGAAAAACAGGACTGAGTATGATGAGGGGATAAGCTGGGTCTTAAAAAATAATATATAGGAAAAGGGAAATGGCAAACAAGTAGGGAACTTTATAGACAATAGGTTTAAAATAAACAACCAAAAAAACCTTCACATAATACATATGTTAAATTGTTGAACTCATTGCCACCGGATGTTGTAGAGGCCAAAACTATAAATGGGCTCAAAAAGCAATCAGACAAATCCTTAGAAGCAGGAATACCAGAAGCCATTAAGAGGTCCAGACCTTCTTGATGCCTGGCTCTTGCTGACTGTTGGTATATTTGAGGAAAGATCATACTAGGCCTGTTTCTTACTTGCTTTCGTTCTGCATCTGTTGTTGAGCACTGTAAGAGACAGTATGGCCATTCTTACATAACTTCCTTCTTCCATTATAAGCCATTCTTTCCTTACAATACATATTCCTTTAACATTTCAGTTTTGTGCTAAGAGTTTATACAGTTGGTCTTCAAATACAAAGAGGCTTGTTTAAAAGAAGCTGAGAGTTTATGTTAATAAAAGAGAGTTTATGTTAATAAACAAAACCTCAAAAATAGTTTAAATAGCACTTAATAAAGGCTATTTCATCCCATTACTTGGTAAAAGATACTAACTTTATCGAAAGAAGCACGTCTATTAGAGCTCTGACCGCTGGTTACAAATATTACAGTATTTTTTTATGAACTATCAGAGCCATGCATGCAAGAGAAAGGGTCAGAGAGAAATTTCAGTTCTGAGCTTGTTTTTGCAAGGATTTCCTATGCAGAGAACACATCGTTTGAGTGCTGGTGAGGCTCTGTAGTGCAGGATCTAAATTCTCAAATACAGGGAATACATTAGAACCACAGATATTTTTAGTCACTCTCGTGGAGAAACTCACTGGAAAGAAAGCACTGCAGTCTGAGACACGGGAAAGAATGAAGGTGAGGGCCAGTTTGGGAGCAGAGATTCTAGGTTTTACTCTACATTCACAGCAGGCTATTTTATGAGTCTCCACTTTACACATTATTTGCGGGGGGTCAATATGCAAATAGGAACTACTTCTTCTGAAGCTCAAGCTTTTAAAACTTGCTGAAAAGGAACTTCTGAAATCGTGCTCAACACCCACCATGTTATCTGCAGCCCAATAATATTTTTTTGAAGAATATAAACAGTCTTTTTGGAAGAAAAAAACAGATGGTTTCAAGGATATATACTGTGAGCGCACAATACATTTCTAGCGCAGCAATGTCATATTTGCGAAAGAGATTTTTAAATAAATGGAAGTTACCTAGAAATATCTTAGTATACACAAAACCCCAAACAAAAATGATTTTACCTTACTTGCTCAATTTTTATTTCTCGAATTTTCTTGCGGTTAATTTTTTTTCATACTCTTCTTTGGGCTAAACAGGACATACTCTTAGTGTAAAAAATTTGAAAAATAGTTTAAATAACATTCTTCAACATTAAAGACCTTTTTCATATGTCACGAAGAAACAAGAAAGGGTACAAGTGATTACTATTTAAATAAAAGCAGCTGGGTTTGTTTATGTCATGCAAGCTCTTTGGCCCTTCTCACTTTCCAAGATTTAGCAGCAGGGCCTCAAAAATAAATCTTTAATTACTAAGATTTAATTGCAATAATTCTTCAAAAGAGCTGAGCGTCTATTCATTCTAAAGTGCATGTTGATGATGTAATCTGATGGCTTCAAAAAAGGTGTTTGTTCATGAACTTCACAGCTCAACTACCTCAGTAGAACTAAAACGACTATCCTGGTGAACAGTAGTGAGATTCACTCGGTTCACCAAGTCTGGTGAAACACGTTTTGTGTAGGTCTCCGCTGTTAGAACTAGGGATGGAACTTGCGTGCTACGTCAGGGAACGCCTGTGCAGCTACTCTGCGACCAGCAAGCCAGCAATGACCCTTTTAACTCTGCTGCTTTCCACTTGATCCATACTAGTTCCTTTCAGCAGTGCTTTCTACAGGTAGCTTGGGTAGGCTATTGAAATCAGTTTCTCTCTTGTGATTTTTGGCTTATTTCAAGAAGTACTGTAGAATGCCTCTTTCTGCATGCATCCTGATGCCATGAAGCATTTATTTTAGTTTCTTTATAGCTATAGTTTCTTTTATACATTTTTTTTTACTGATAACTTAAATACCATTACATTTAAGCATTAGTAAGAAACATGATCTATCTATCTAAAACTGAATATAGCCCTGTCATGCTTCAAACATGATCATACCGGAGCACGCAAAATAGGGCAAGTACTGTAGTACATGTAGTACTGTAGTACATGTAAAAGCATCTTATGTCCATAGACAAGCTCGTAAGTGAAGGAAACTTACTAGATAATTTCCACAGGAAAACTGTAAAAGAAAAAAAAACCACACAAACCAACCTAGACGTGTACAACTTCTGAAAGCTAAACCCTAACATGCAGCAGTTAGATCATGAATAAATAATGGACAGCGTCAAATAAAAGTCTGAGAAAAATGTGATCTTGTTGAGGCTCGTTATGTATTCTAGCAAATGGTTTTCAGCAGTATGAAAATTTGAATAAACTTTAGAAAACTTCATTAATTGGTAATTAAAAGCGTTGTACCTATTTTCAACTTAAAATGTTGATTTTAGCCATGAATCCTCCCATCTATTTATGGTGAATAGGTTTCATCATAAATAGATGAAACCTATTCACTGGAGATTTCAGTGGGTGTGTAGACTCAGAGATTTATTTCTGTATACATTATTAGATCAGATTATAATTTAATTTGGTGCAGGCTGAAGAGATGAACATAATTTGCTGGAAAAGTACAGACAAATGTCACAAAATGTACGGTTAAGTCTCTGTAATCCAGTTACAGGTAGATTCAAAACCTAAAGCTACATTGTTTTTATTTTTAAGCAAATTAAATACTCTTAAGTACTAAGAAAAGGAGAAAAGTATATCAGATTCTGTACGCTTCTCTAAAAAACAATGCAAATATCCCTAATTAAAATAGCCCACTAGACAGTAGGATTTTGTTTTAAAGCTCTATTTTTTTTTTTTTTTTGTCACTGACATGGACACATTTTTGAGAATAACTAGCTGAAATATGAATTTAGATTTTATCAACAGCTTTTCTAGATTATTGTAATATTAAAAAACATCTCTAGTGTACTAAAAGTAGTGCAAACAATTAAAAGCCGAGTAGAGTTAATTTTTGTTTAATATATTTATTGTTTCTCCTCTCCCAACATTAGTTTTCTGAGATATAGGTATTCACAGAACTTTTCTTCCTCTCTGCTCAAAAATGAGGATGAAATCCTCATTTCATAGCCATTATCAGGATAATTATATCCTTCTGCTTCCTTCCCCTCCTCCCAAATGCTTATTTGATTGCAAGGTTTTCATAATTTCCAAGTTCTGACTGATAATATCAAACAGACAAAAAACAGCATTACACTGTTCATGTTTCTTTCCTCAGGATCAAGAACAAATATAGATTTTACATAGTAAACTACGTATTTGACATGAAGTTAAATGTCTTAGATGTCTTTGGAGAGAGGTGAATTGGGCCTTTTATCATGCTGAAGTTGGCTGGGATGTTATCCTCCCGTTTTATATATTCTAAATATTTTTAGATTCTAAAGAAAGTAGGAAAAGAAAATCATCCGTCACAAAACCCCTCCACAGAATTATTCCACATGTGTATCTGTTTCTTTAAAAAAAGAATATTACATCTTTCTAGTCTAGGAGCAAAGAATAAATCATTGTACTCATCGGTACTGCTCTTAAACTACATAAGCTTTTATCATTTTTGTAGAAATATTTCTGTGTTTTATATATGCATTAAGATACATACATATATTTGTTCAGGGAACTAACTGTTATATACTTACTGAAAATCCTATCTGCAAACCACAGTACAAAGATAAGACTAGTTCTATTTTTTTTTGTCCTTGCTTTCCTTTATTTCAAAATTATCTTTAACTTCTGCTGATTCATTTCTAAAATGCAAAAGATCATTTAGGTCTATATGTGTTCTTTATTAAGACTTTTTTTTTTAAACAAATATAGCATAGAGTGTTAGTCTTTATTTTGACTAGTTTAACATACAGTTCATTTACTTTGAAAGGAGTACTCTGTGATACAATATATTTGCTCTATTATTGTTGATCCGTTTAATTGTTAGTTTGCAGCGAGTCTTCTGGTAACCAGGCAAATTATCAAACTTCTGCTACAGTATATTAAAAACTACACAGACCTTAGAAAAAAATTTTTTTAAAAAAAGTTAATTTAGGATAAACTTTCATGTTGTAGCAAACAAGGTCAAGAGTCCCTTTAAGAAGGAGACTATTTCATTGCCTCCCAGTTTAGATTCTCCATAGACACGGTCCACAAATGAAATAGGAACCTGTTGAAACAAGCAAAACTATTTTAACATTGAAGACCTAAATAATCAGAAATTCTGTAAACAGACGTACACTCTTTGAACTTAGCATACTTAGAAGCGGAAGAGGGCAAGTACCAGATTTGATTCCTTTGTCTCCATTCTTCTGACCATTTGCCTTAGTGATGCCCCATAGCTGGAAAGCATTGAGGGTATTTGGCTTGATCACCTCTAAAGATGACCTAAAGGCATTACTGAGTGGCCGGATGACACACCAACCTGAACAAACTAGTCTCAATAGTAGCATAAGTGCACTAAAAGCCTAGGGGCTCAACATGAACTTTCATCAATTTCCTTTTTAGCTAAATTCAATACTTTTGAGTCAATGCCTCAAGAAGGCAAAACATCCCCTGCCACCACGAAAGAGCGTTCTGCTCAACCTCACCACTGGCTAGAAGACACATCCGAATATGGCAGTTAATGCATGTGGGTGTTTTACAAGCCATACCTACCTTTGCTGGTCTTCAACCATTTCATAGATTATTTATAGGATGTAAGATAATTTAAAACACTAATTTTGATTTTCTTAAGTGCTCATACTGTCCAGATTCACTCACTGCTCATAAAATGTTAGAAACATACTGCTTTTCAGTAACTTGAGCAAATACGTTGGCAGCTCATTCTGCCAATACTATATTAGAATATTCAAGAATTTCAGTATATTCTTGTGTGTGAAATTAAGACACTTCCGGGACTAGAATTAAAACAAACAAACAAAACTGCATTTGCAAAAGTCATTAAGAAATTGGCTGACCGTTCTGCTGGAAGTTTCACCTAGAAATCAGCTGGCAAGAGGAACACCCAAGAACACCACACCCTTGCAACTGTGCCAGGACTGAGGATTTCTCACAACTCTAAAGAGATCAGTCTATGGTAGAAGACAAGCCAGAGCATTTGGCAGTAAGAAAATACCTAGAAAGGCATGCAGATAGACTTAACAATGCCGCTGGCTTTCTTGGTAGGATCCCTTTGATAATCCCAATAAGCATCCTAACAGCTATGGAGAGCTTATCTAAGGGGCGTGGACAGAAATCACTGAAGACACACAGTGCAGGATGTCAAAAGTGACATCTTGCAACTAGTGACGAATGAACGGTCTATATCTATTCTGGTAAAAGGTATCTAGTCTTCCCCAGTACTGCAGTTAACGCCTTGTGTAGTTGCTGCACTTTGCCCTTCTTGCATAAGAGATTGTATCATTAGTCTTAAAAGAGGAATTTTCAGCCTTCAGTCAGAAGGCTTAGTCATGCACTAAGGTACACTTCACATGTGGTACACAAGTACAGCATTACAATACTGTTCAGGTATAGCTTGTTTCAGTTCATCTCATCACCCAGCTGTTTCTTTTAGATTGATAGGTGTCAACAACCTTCACTTTCAACGTTGCTTAAGAAATGCTTTACACTCGGACTGTATTTACACTTTAAATCTGCATAGAAGCTCCTTTTCTGCCAGTAAAGTTACAACTGCAGCACCTGCAAATCATGAATTATGCATGAACGTTTCTGGAATTTCAGTATTATCACTTTGGTAATTATAAAATAGCTAAGAATCCTAACTGTTGATCAGGACCTACAATACCAATGGATTTAAACGTAATGGAGAACTGTCCTGCCCTAGGAAGTTACAATATAGACAGTAAGTGGAGTAGTAAAAAGAAAGAATACAACAGTCTTATCTATAGGTACATTTCAGGAGTCTGAGCACTGTCAAGTTTGTTATAGATATTGCAAAGGAAATCTTAAAGGCAAGAGAGAACCAGAATAACGAAGCAACTTTTTGGATGTTGGAGAAAACTCCTGGCACATATGAGAAACCAAAAGAGAAGGCAATAAGGTGCTTCTTGGGAATGTTACAGATGAGCTGCGGAGGACAGCATAGCTGATCCATCACAGAACAGAGGTCATGTCTCAACAGTGACTTGGAGACATTAGGTCTAGTGAAGATCAAGCCTGTCCGGCTTTGAACCTGAAGACCTGAACCTGAAGGATCTTGTATTTGATGCCATGCAGCCAAAGACGGCATGCAAGAAAAGCAGTAGTGAGATCAAATAATAGGCAAGAAGTTATTTACAGCAGCACCCTGAAGAGGTATGAGCAAGACAAGATTGTATTTTTTTTTTTTTTTTTAAGCCAGAGAAGGGGATTTACTGTTTTCAGAATGTATGATAAATAAAAAGTTTTCTCATCCTAGGTTTCAGTATATGGATAAATAGACAGGTTAGGATTCAATTCAATAATGTTAAAAAAAGTAAAACAGGGATGCAATTGGATGTGAAGGCCAGAAAAATTTAAGGTCAGACCCAAGCTACAGGCAGGATACTGACGTTGCCCCAGGAGCAAAACAGGTAGAAGAAAAGAGCTTACTTTATTGTGTAGACATATTATATCCAGTGTTGATACAGAAATGCTGTATATAAAGTTTACAGAAAGAAGTACTAGCAACAGAGTTCTCTGACAATTCAGTCATGAAAGTGATTATGAAGAACTGGTTCTGAGATTTGGCTATAAAGAAAATTCCAGTGAATCATCTTTAAAGACATCAGCAAGAGTAATTCAATGAAATATGAAGGGAAGCAATCAGACTGCGAGGAGTCTGCGGGACAGAACTATTGTTTGGAGTTATTTAATGATTATATTCATATTCAAAGAGTTTAGAAGTGGAAAGGTGTGTTAGTTGCCAAGTTGGAGAAGAACAAAGAAACGAGTGACAGAGGACAGAATAAATCAGAAAGAGTCAGGTTACTGGAGACAGTAAAATGACTTGAGAAGAACTAGAGATATCTGTACATTAAGGGGGAAAGAAAAGGCTCAGAGCAGGCTCATGGTATATTTTGACCTTTTTTTCTTCCTTTGAAGAGGCTGGTAGAATCTTATGCAGCTAAAGAAACAACAACAAGAAGAGGGAAGGATCCGAGAAGCATATTAGACATGGGGAATAAGTAAGTGGAACTGTAGAGCTGTCTTTCAGCTAAGTTGAAAGAAGTAGAGTTTGACAAGTGCAATTTCTTTAAGTTGTTTTGAAAATCCTGCTGCCTCTTGGAAGTGGTCAAAATTTTCTAGGCTTCCAGTAATCTGCATCTACATTTAAATGAAAACACAATACACGTATCAACACTTTTACTATACCTCTCCAATAGTATATCCTAACTGTCTAGCCCGAACAATCATCTCCATCTGGAAGACGTATCCTTTAGAAACACATTTTTCCATTAGTTTCTGTAAGACTTCTTTTCTGTATAACCTGTAAATGATTACAAAGAAATTGAAACCTGTGGCATAATTTTTGAGCTTCAGAGATCAAGATAGTACGTGCAGGAATCTTGTCTGTAATCACTTACTCATATCGTTACTACTTCAAAAAAAAAAAAAAACCAAAGTTGTAGGAACAACAGTTCTTGCAATTTAATGTACAATTTCTTACCTCCCGCAAAACAAATTTCGTAGTCCTCAACAAAAGTCTGCTCTTACTCTATCTTTTTGTTTAACAGTTTCTTGATCTCTAATAAGCTTTATGCCTTGCAAACCAGATCCATACCTGAAACTCCCAGTTAAGTCTGATGCACCTGGTCTCAGCAAAACTTGAGTTATAAAATTGGCACCACGACTGTGAAAGGAAACACGAACGTCAGAATTACTCAGTACACAATTCAGAAGGATCAAGCAGTTTCTGGGAAATAAGTAATTATCATCATTCTAGCCAAAAAAGAAAGCTTCTATTGCTTGTTACGAAACAATTATATTCCTAATATGTTCCCACTACTAGATTTGATTCATGAATGCTCATCTTAAAGGAAAATCCCAACATTTTGTTTTGCAAAGGTAGACAATTACATAGATTAGTGAACTTCTCTATGAAGGAAAAAACAGACAGATAAACACATGATAGAAAACAGATTTATAATCTGGTTCCTTATGGCAGAATAATCAGTACGACTACACACTGTATTACCACACAAATGAAATACACTTGGCAAAAGTCAAACATTTTCCTCCTGACTAATATTCACTGTAAGGAGAGAATAAAAATGCTTGCTGGACAAACATTAGACTCGGATTTAGAAGAGGTAGGTTCAATTCTGGTTTAGGGTGCTTCTATAGAATTGTAAGGATAAGCTTCACTGATATTTTTGTGAGACTGAAAAGCCAGTTACGACTCTTGCTGAGGACTATGTAGTGTGCTGATACGATGTACCTGTGTTTCACATTGTAGGGTATGATGTAAAAGGATTTCTCTGTAATGTCCCTTTAGCTCTCCTCTTCCTTTCTGGGGGGAATGTATATTCTATTTAGATTCACAAAAAGACAAACACTTATTCTAGCCATTAAAAAAAAAAAAATTCAACTCTAAATGCAATCTCTCTGATACCGTCTCCAGATCAGACTGATAAAACAGCATATGCTCCTAATTCTTTTCATTAAGAAAAAAAAAATTAGCATTATCTTAATGCCTGTTTTCTTAAATCAGGTGTAAAAGAGAAAAGATTCTACGCAGAAGAAAGTTGCTGATTACAGGCCCTTACAGCTTTTGACGAGGTAAACCTGAGTTACTAGCCTCCATATGCTTATATAACTTTGACATAACATTTTGTCTCTTTGCTTTTGGGTGAAACCTTTCCTTGTGCTCATTGTAAATGTTTTCCACCAAGGTCTAAGTAATAATTGATTGAGATCGATGATGCCAGGTAATTCTTAATTCATGACAAATCATAGTGTCAACAAAAGAGTACTGCAAGTGATTTACTGCTGAGAGAAAAGGCCATTACAATTTTTAAATCTAACTAAGCATGTCTTTAAACTTGGGAAAAGTCTCAGCTCATATTCTTTTTATGATGAAGCAAAACAACTGTCCCAAACTGATGCAGCGCAGATTTGCCCACTGTTATACCCAATTTCACCAAACTGGTTATATCATTAAGTTATTTCTTGATGTTTCTTTAACTGAAGAATTTGCAAATCATTCATGCTTCTCTTGTATTATTTAATATATTTTTGCAATAATAAGTACTATTCACTAAAGATTTTGTTCAGCTCACACAGAATGGCAATTCAGACACCTGTAACAGTCCTAGAGGTGGACTGTGAGCTATTGTTTGATTCTGCATTTGAAAGCCTTGAAAACTTCTAAACAACAAATTTACTGGAAATACCTAGAAAAATACTAACCTGATTAATTTTCTTTTCAAATCCCAGCCATACACTCCTCCATTTCCTTTATATCTTGTTCCAGATACAATATCAAAATTGCCTTCTTTCTGCTTTCTAGAAGGAGTTGGTTTTATTAGAGGAAAAAAAAAAGCAGGAGGACTATTTGTAAGAAGTTAGTACAAATTTCAAACAAGAACAATCACTGCATTAATAGAAAATCTATACTGTACAACCTTTAAAAAAATAAGTACAGAAGAAGGGACGAAAGCAACAGTTATGATGGTTATAAGCATCATGCATTTAAAAACCTGTGCATTCCTCTCTTCTTATGAAGAACTATTTTAGAGTGTCTCATGATTTTCTTTTACCAACTATGTCATCGAATTTCAGACATTGCTTCATAAATAATTTATATAGACCTACTTAGGTATTTTTAAAGCCAAAAAAGCAGTCTCTCTAGTATAAAATAAAGGTTTTAAATATAAATATATTTATAACCGTTATAACCATTATATTTATAAATATAAATATATTTAAATATAATGGTTATAAATAAAGGTTTTAAATATTTAATAGTTTTAAATATAGATTTAAATATTTAATTTACACAAGCCAGAACTAATGAAAAATAACAAGCCTAGAAGTATCCTTACTCCACACCATGCCTAACTGCTGCAGAACTTTACCTAAAAATTTTAGATCTCCATTACTATTTAGCAAGGAAGTTGAAAATTATGCACACTGCTACCCTTAGCCTCGAGAGTAGTGCCTCTTGATTGTTTCTCGCAAATTGAAACGTTACAGAGAGAGAAAGGCAAGAGATAGATGGAAGGGAGAGAAACGTTTCATCGTTAAACGACGACTTTGTATTATCCTGCAGTTATATACTTACATTATCTTACATTAATTACCTTAATGCTAAAATAGAATTTTTAAAAATCAATTATTTGAGTACAATCCAGCTTGAGTCTTTAATTAACCTTAAAGTATGCTCTTACTTTTTAAATAACTGCATTTGGAGTTTTATGTCTCTTATTTTTCACTTATTCTCCACATAAAATCTTTACCTCTTAGAAATAAAGAGACGTGTAGTAGTGTTTTCAACAGGTAGGCCTGTAGAAATCAAGACCTCTCCCTCTTTTGCATCATTGTCCATTAGAAAAACCCTCAAACTGAATTCCACGTTCACTTATACCTATAAAACCTCCTTGATTTTAATTATTTTGCAAAGTACTTTAAACGTTTTGGCTTACAACAGAGATGAATCCAACCTGTTTTTCAATCCTAGAAATTAGCAGGAATAAAAAGCAGT